ATTGTTATTTATAATTTGTATAATTAACCTCCCTGTGGTTCGACCCCGGTCTTGCCGGGTTATTTATTACTTCGACACTCCTGCACTTGGGAGAAGACATCAATCTTTTAGTCGTGTCAGTGACCAACCCAAATCAACAAGTGACTCAATATTTAAGGCATATATTACCATTGTCATGAATTCCTCATTTTACATGTTATCATTTTGGGCACATGTCTGATTCCTGTTTTAGAAGTTGTTAGTAGAAAATGGATAAAAAAACCATACATATTCTCCTACATTTTTCTTTCTCCTTCTTTTATACACTATTTCCCTCCCATGCTTCACTAATTGAGACATTGAAAGGTTCTTTGCACATGAAAGTTATCTTGTAAGAGAATATAGATTATCAATCTAAGCTAAATAAAAATAAAAATAAAAATTAAGCTTGTTAAATAGCTTTGGAAAGGCTTAAATTCATTTAAAGTATGTCCAACTTTGTCAAATGAGTTGATTCCAAAAAAAAAAAGATGGCTTGCAATTTAGAAGATGTTCGGAAATTTTTTATTGTTTATGCTCATCAATAAACAATAAAGATTTGGTATTATAAAATAAAAATTATAAAATTGATGTTGTTGGAAACCCAAATAAGAGAGAAAATAAAGTTAACGAAAAAAAGTTATTCTAACCTAAGGTTTTCAATCAATCAAATTGTAAAGCTAAGATTAATGTTATTATTCATAATAGCAATAATTTCGTTATATAGCACAATCATGCAATTGACCATAAAAAGTCACCATTCTTTTCATCCCATAAAAAAAGGAATGAACATGTCAATGAGTGGCTTAAAAGTAAAGAATGAAGCAAGCAAGAACTGCCATTCAATTCACTCGCTCTTAAAGTTGGGTAATGTGAAATCTTGACTTATACCGAGCAAGATTGTAGTGATCATATTGTAAGATTATTTGTTTTTTAATTTTTAAAAATAATTTTTTATGATATTAAAAAACACTTTTTAAAAAATAATTATTATTACAATACTAAACATATTCTAAATCATGAAACATAACTTAAGAAGATAAATGTAAAGTTGGATATTATGTTATCTTATTTATACCTAACTATTAATCAAAACATTTAGGCTAATTAGATTGTAATTGGATCAATTTTCCGTTCAATATATAACCTGGCCCCATATGAGATCATTGGGTCATTATATTTTCACTGTTGAGCAGGTTGGGGTTAAATACACTGTAATAAACTGTCGCGGGATATTACAGCAGCCTAATCTTGTAAGCATGGAGGGAGAGCACGGAAAATATTTTTAATACTATATTTGTCCTGTATATCATGCATGCATGTATATAATTAAAAAAAAGAGAGCAGAAAAAGGCTGATGATGATGATGATGATGATATGTCCTCCACCTAGTTTCTTCTTACAAACAAAATCCATCTCCATCTCTATCTTAACTGGTTCCTTTCTCTTTCTGTACTCATTGCCTCCGATTTCTCGGCTCCTGGCCTGCCCTAGGGTTTCTTAGCCTTCCACTTCTCTGTCAACAAGCCTTAAACCCATACAAAACCTTTCTTAATCCGTACACATTTCACCAAAAATAGAAAAAAATAAGTACTTGACTATTGACTAGAACCAAGCAATTCATGGCCAAAACCAAACCTGGCAAAAAAGACCTTGATTCCTACACTATCAAAGGCACCAACAAAGTTGTTAGACGTAAGCATTTACCTTGTTTAAACCCATAATTTCCATCTATAAATTTCTTCTCTCTCTGTTCTTTTTTACTATCAATCTAGAAACCCATCGATTTCTTTGGTTCAAGTTCCAGTCTTTAAGACCCTGGTTGCCAACATGTCTCCTTTTTCTTTCAATTTTGAATACCTATTATTTTTTTTTCTAATTTTAACAAAACCCAAATGCCTTTCTATTTCGTCCTTTCCTTTTTGTTGGGAGTTTTGATTTTGGGTGGATTCATGCTTGTTATTGCAACTGGTGATTGTGTGTTGATGCGCCCAGCGGACACCGATAAGCTTCCATACGTGGCACTTGTAGAGAAAATCGAGGCAGATCATGGAAACAACGTTAAAGTTCGTGTACGGTGGTACTACCGGCCGGAGGAATCCCTTGGGGGATGCCGTCAATTCCACGGAGCCAAAGAGTTATTCTTGTCAGACCACCATGATGTGCAAAGTGCACACACAATCGAAGGCAAGTGCACAGTGCACTCCTTCAAGAACTATAGTAAGCTTGAGAATGTTGGAGCTGAGGATTACTTTTGTAGGTTCGAGTACAAGGCTTCCACCGGTGGGTTCACTCCTGATCGTGTAGCTATGTGAGTTTTGTTCTTTTGATGTAATTTTGAGTTGATTGTTTTGGGGTTCAGTGTTGAATTGAATGGTCTTTTGAATTGGTGTCTTTGAAGTTACTGTAAGTGCGAGATGCCATATAATCCAGATGATCTAATGGTGCAATGCGAGGGATGCAAAGATTGGTAATTTGCTGATACCACACTTATTTTTGTAATTCTATGCTTTGTAACTGTGAGATTACTTCCATTTTATCTCATCTAATCTTTGAAATTGTTCGAGCTACTTTTGTCAGAACCAACGTGACAGGTGTTGTTTTCATTCGAATGAATTGTTGTAACTTCATGATTAGCACTTACGATGTCTTTTCCCTTTGTTTTATTCTTCTAGAACTTAAAGAAAAACTATGGTGTGAGAGATAGGGATCCTTTTGGAGAATGCGTAGCCTTTTTCTATTGCTTGTAAGATTAAGTGGCCTACTGTAAACTCTGTTTCATGTCGGGCAGATGACACGACGAAAAGATTGATGTCTTCTCCCAAGTGCAGGAGTGTCGAAGTAATAAATAACCCGGCAAGACCGGGGTCGAACCACAGGGAGGTTAATTGTACAAATTATAAACAACAATTATAAAACAACAATAACAACAACACCAATAGTAATAGTAGTAATAATAATAATAATAATAGTAGTAGTAGTAGTAGTAGTAGTAGTACTAATAATAATAATAATAATAATAATAATAATAATAATAATAATAAAGAAAGAGAAGAAGAAGAAGATGATGATGATGAGAACTTGGAGATCAAATATTAATGTAAGGATTAAGCAATAATAATAACAAATGTCAAGGTTAGAGGTTCCACTAATGGTATATCAAACAAGTATAGTATAAACTCTTATTATTGAATTGGAAACCACACACAAAGGCGGTTCCAATCAGATTATATATTGTTAACATGATTACATTAGTCATCTTATTCAATTAATGCTAATACTTGTGAATCTCGTCAAGCATTCATGATTATAACTTATGTTAACAACAAATCGAGTTCCTTTCATAGCTCAGGTGTCGGTTATACCATACATTATGGGCTATGAAAGTGCCGAGCATGTGTTGTACCAAGTGTTATACAACATAAATCAAGATTAGTCATTTAACAAGCAAAGTATGAAAGAGTGAACAAGATAACAAATATAAAACATGTTAGTATCAAGTATTAAAGTCCATATTAAGTTTACATTATACTTATTCTTACACCATTAGTGTAACCTTTTCACCTTGACATAATTAACTTAGCTAGACATAATGAAAGAAAGCAAAATAAATAAACAAAATAAGAACATAAAAGTTAACTAAGTAAATGAAAGGAAATGAAAGGCATAAACTTGATATTAATGAAAGCAAAGTATAAATATTACAAAAAATACAAAGAGAGAAAGGAAGAGTATGATCTTGATCTGGAAACCAAGATGCCTAAATGCATGGCAAATGCCTCCTTTTATAGGCCAAAATTGGGAACTATTGATTTGATGACTAATTGATAAGTGGGTGGCCAACTTTTGACTTGGTGACAATCCTTATCTTCTCTTGTCTGCCCAAAACGTCAGTGATAACGTCAAAACTGGAGCTAGGTGCAAACATGAAAGTTGTAGGCACTTGTCTCAGCTTTCTTGTGTAAAAAATTCAGCTCATTTGGCCTTCTAGAACTCCAGATATGGCCAAAATACCGAACAGGGCTCGGGCTGGAAGACAGATTCGGGCTTCTTTGTTGTTGCTACAATTTGGACTTGATAATGGCCTTTTTAGATCTTGGGCTCCATATAAAAGTTGTAGGCCTATGTCTTACCTTTCCATCCATATAAATTGGACCTAAATCTGAGATATATAGCTCTAGATATGACCCAATTACCGAACAGTGTTCCGGTTTGGATTGCACCGACATCTCTTTTCTAAGTTTGGCCATCTCTTTATCCTTGCAATTTAAGTTCTTCAAGTCATCAATCAATCCTTTCATTTATGTGATAGGCCTGCATTAAAAATAGACATTTACCACAAATTATAGGTATCTTATATTATTAGATACATTATTATAAAACATATTTTAGTTAAGGAGTTATTGATACTTCAAGTGCAAAATGATGATATAAAACCATGATAAAAATGCACTTTTAAGTACTAATCAATTATTGTAGCAAAATATGAGTTATGCTCAAGAGAATGTTGCTTTAACAAGTAGTGTTTTGGCATGGAGGATTATACCATCATCTTTTGTAATGCATAATGACCCACTTGAGAATTTCAATTTTGGAAATTTAAAAAGATAAAAATCAAAATATGGTTTTTTATTTTACCAAATTGAACATGGTAAAATTCTTGACAAGAGATACATCAAAGTTGTTAGGTGAGGAGTCTGATCCCATTATTATGATAGTTGTTAATACATGAAAGCACAACGATTTCATGTAAAAATTATATCTTGAATAGCTTGGATAATTCACTTTATGATGTATATAGTTCTGTTAATAGTGCTAAAGAATTATGAGTTGATAATGCTAGTATGAAAAAAATTCATAGTTGATTGATTTTTTGACTTTATGATGGTCGATTCAAGGACATTGATTAGCTAAGTACAAGAGTTTCAATTCATTTTGCATGAATTCATGTTGAGGAGATGAATATGAGTAAGTCATTCCAAGTTGTTGCTATTATTGAGAAATTACTATCATTTTGAAAAGACTTAAAAAATACTTTAAGCATAAGTTAAAATAGATGAGAGTTGAAGATTTCATTCAACATTAAGGATAAAAAAAAAAAAAAGTTATATGAGAGAATAACAAGCTTTTCCTCGATAGCACTAAAACAAATGTGGTTGAACAAGTGGTGAAATCCCATAATAAAAATTGAAAGAAAAATATTGCTCCAAAGTGTATAGGCATTGCTACTAATTTCAATGGAAAAAACTTTATCTATAATAAGATTAGACACCAATTTGAAAATTATAAAAATAAGTTTTAGCAAGATAACCTTGAAAAGCAATGGTAGTTTAAGCCAATGTCACTAAATTTGAGAACCTCTCGAATAAAGAGTAAAAAATGAGCTTGACTATAATCATCTCTAAGGTCAACTTTGTAAATAATCTTAAATAATAGTGGCTTGATATTGGTGCAATAAGACATGTTTTTGCTAAGAAGATAATGTTCTCCACCTACCAAGAAATAGATAATGAACAACTGCACAGAAAATTCATTAACCTCAAAAGTATTGAACATTAGAAATGTCATACTAAAAATGACTTTTGAAAAGATTTTCATACTCAATAGCATGGTTCATGTTGCTAACATTACCAAGAATTAAGTGTCTTACTCAATATTGAGTAAAAATAATACAAATAGTCTTTGAAAGTAATAAATTTACACTCATAAACAATCAAATGTTTATTAGAATATAGTATCTATGTGATGACCTTTTTAAAACGAATGTAATGATCATTGTAATCAAAGGTTAAGACTAATAATAAGATTGCCTCTTCTTCATGCTTGTTTAAGTCTTATGATATGTGACATGTCATATTGAGATATATAAATTATAATTCTATATAAATAATGACTAATGTTGAATTATTATTAACTATGAATTTTAAGAGGCATGAAATTTGTATAGAATCAAAATTCATGAAGATTTTATTTAAAAAAATAAAAATAAAAAAATCAATGAACTTCTAAATTTAATTCACTATGATATTAGTGGTTTAAAATTTATGCAAATTGAAGGTGAAAAAAATGTATTACATTACTTTTATAAATAATTATATAATATATTATTATACCTATTTTTTAAGAAGTAAAGATGATAGTCTTGAAATATTTAAGTATTACAATATTTAAGCTGAAAATCAATTTAATAAAAAGAGAATACGAGGCATCTTTTGTATTCAAAATGGTATCATCAACCAAATTATTACTTTTTATTTATACCAATAAAATAACACTAATGAATGCAAAGATCAAACTCTGAAAAAAGTGATGAAGTCCGTGCTAATAAGTTTAGGAGCACCCAAAGGGGCATTCATCTTTGACTATCAACCACATAATTAACTGCATACCTTATAAAAAATTGAAAAAACACTAAATGAGATAGAAATGAAGAAAATCTTCTACAAATATCTCCAAATATGAGAGTGTTTTACAAAAGTGGCAATACATGATCCTAAAAAGATCACAATATAATCTAAAACTATGAATTGTATATTCATTGGATAAGTATATAATAATAGCGTATATCAGTTACTTATATATAAGTTAAGCATCAATGATGTTCATTTCAATACAATAATAACATCAAGTAATGGTATATTCTTTGAAGATTTTTTTTTTTTTTATAAATGGAGGCATAAGAAATTCATTTATTAAAAAAAAATAAAAAAAACTCAAGTGATCTTCATCAAATTATAAATACAATATCTATAAGGAATGATGAAATTAAGAAAAAGATGAAAAAAATATAAAAA